GTAAGCATTCTGTGCTACATGCCAAGCCCCCAAGAGTCCTCCACAATCTTTCTGTTTCTCCTCTACCTTTCAAGTTCTAGTTTTGTTTCTTAGTGGTGAGTCTTAAAATTCTTAATGGTATTCAGGTGAGGTGCAGTGGTTCAACCCTCTAATGGCATCGATTGGAGGACTAAGAAAGTGAGTTCAGGGCTAGCCTGAGATACATAGTAACACCCTGTCTCAAACCCTCCAACTTTCTCCCCCACCCTGCAAGTTAAAAACAAAAATCTTAATAACTGTTTTTGCGGGACCATACTATGGAACTACAAGATGAGTCTGTTATTCAACAACCTTTTGCTTACAACTTAGGCACCAATCAGTGCTGCTGTTATTGCAACATTTCTTCATTGTGCATTAATTAGTCAGCATTCTACTGTAAGACAATGCTTTCCTGCTGTCTTCACTTACACTTCTCATTCCACTCTACAGATTATGTGTTTATATTAAATCATGCCAGGTATGCCAGAGGGAGCTCCTTCGAGCTCTATGTATAAAAGACACTACTTATTCCAAAATATTGTTATCTTATTGGTCAGACTCATAGGATGTCCTCCCCTTGTACCAAATATTATTTCCTTGAAAATGTATTAGGAGTTCAATTTTTTAAATATGATACATATAATCAGTAAGGGAAATCTTCTAGAAAAGAAGCTATTTAAGTTGTTTTGGAGATGTATATTAAGATCTACTTTGTTAATGTAGATAGCAAGAGGTGAAACTGTAGAAAACCATGGCATATTTAATTAGAACAAATAAGGTTATCTGAAGTACATTTGATAATTTTTCCAAAGACTTGAGTTACAAAAGACCACCATTTTCATCACTGGCATTCAAGTTAATTCACCTTTATCCTTGAAATATCAAGAATTCTCAAGTTGCAAACACAGACTCATCAAAAACATGAAGATACAGAAAGCCCTTGCTACATATACCTCTCAGCCTACAAACAGTATTGTCAGATGTTCGCCCAAATTTCACCCTTTATCCAGTGTTTCACAGAGATGATACAGATATAAATCACAGAAACTCAATGGTGTTTCAGAGGTCCTAGATGATACTGTCAACCCCTTCATCTTACAAAAAGTTGAACACAGGTCTGGAGAAGCAAACTACTGCAGGCAGAGTTACTGGAAAAGCTGGACTTCAAGCAGTTTTAAGCATTTCAACACGAGCTATTTTAAGCATGCCACTTACAATAGTGAGATTAACAAGTCAGTCCACAAGAAAGCTATTTATCCCATGGTGTATCTGAAGCATTTAGCAATGAACAGGCAGGGGGAGGGGGAGAGGGGAACAACAGAACTGTAGCAGTCACTACAAAAGTGACCAGAAGCTACTAAGCTGAAAATAAGGTTTTAAAACTAATGAATTTGGGGCTCCATGAATTTAAAAGGTGACATGAGAGTACCAGTGTTCCTCCAGATTCTATGGGGGAGTTTTACTTCTGGGCTTTTTAGAGGGATGTAGCTGTGGTTCTTAACTACATCCAATGTCACCCAGCAGCCCAGGGCTTGCCTTTCTTCTGGTGGGCACAGATCATCAGTACAATGCAAACCGAGGCACCTGGGGCCTTTTTATTAAGGGCATTAATAAAGAGTTGACCATCTATTCCACAAATGAGATGAAGAAAACAGTCTGTTTCAAAGATAACACAAGCCTATAATTTCATCTCGTCTTATTTCCTAACATCTGAGATTTTCAAAGATACTTTCCTTTGTAGGGAGACACTGTAGCCCTGCCTCCTAGTAGCCCCTACAGGTGTGCCTAGCAGATTTCTGATTTGATTTTAAAGGGCAAATTAAGACTTTGTCAGCTGACTGGAAAAGATCCAGCAAAAATTATAGTACCTTTAACTAATGATGAAATTTCCTCCTTATGGAAGGATAATGAATATTGGCAAATAGCTCTTACTGACTTTCTCAGAGCAATTACTAACAACTATCCCAAAACCGACAGAATTAAATTCATAAAAAAGACAGTCTGGATTCTTCCACGCATTGTAAGACAAACTCCCATTTCTGGAGTTCTTACCTTCTACACTGACGCTAACAAATCAGGTAAGGCTGGTTGAAAAGCAGGTGAGCTAAGTAAAGTAGTTCAAAATCCGTACACATCTGTACAGAAGGCAGAATTATATGCAATTCTCATGGTGCTTATGGATTTCACAGAACCTCTTAATATAGTTACTGATTCCCAATATACAAAGAGAGTCGTCTTGCACATAGAGACCGCAGAATTCATCCCTGATAATACTGAACTAACCTCGTTGTTTTTACAATTACAGGAAACAATCAGAAACAGAAGTAATCCTCTGTACATTACGCATATCAGATCCCATACAGGTCTGCCAGGCCCACTGGCACAAGGCAATGAGGAGATTGATTGTTTATTAATTGGCACGGTGCTAGAAGCCTCAGAATTTCATAAAAAGCATCATGTAAATAGCAAAGGTTTAAAGAAGGACTTCTCCATCACTTGGCAACAAGCCAAAGAGATAGGGAGAAACTGTCCTACTTATTCCTTTTATAACCAAACTCCACTGCCAGCAGTCTGTAAATCCTAAAGGCATTTGGAGGAATGAGATCTGGCAAATGGACATCTTTCACTTTACAGAATTTGGAAATTTGAAATATGTGCATCATACCATTGACACATTCTCAGGTTTCCAATGGGCTACTGCTCTCAACTCTGAAAAAGCTGATCCCATTATTACACACCTACTAGAGGTGATGGCAGTTATGGGCCTACCAGCACAGATAAAACCTGACAATGCTCCAGGATATGTCTCCACAAAAATGGAACAGTTATTCAAATATTATAACATAAAGCATGTCACAGGTATACCACACAATCCTACAGGACAAGCAGTTGTTGAGAGGTCTAATAGGACACTTAAGGAGATGCTCCATAGGCAAGCTGGTAAGTCAAAACCCCCAAACATAGATTGCATAATGCTTTATTGACACTAAACTTTCTTAATACCAATGACAAAGGACAAACAGCTACGGAAAGACACTGGACTTCGGAAAAAACTGCTGAACTGAATCAACCAGTGTACTTCAAAGATGTACTGACCTCAGTATGGAAACCTGGACATATTTTACATTGGGGAAGGGGTTTTGCATTTGTTTCCACAGGAGAAGAAAAACTTTGGATACCATCAAAATTGATCAAGATTCCAGTTGAAAAAGACAACCCTCTCGACAAGGACAACTGACAGTATTTACTGAGGTATATCTCATAAACTAAATGAAAGCATCCCAAAGGATGGGAAGTGCTTTGTTTTTATCTTCACAGAAAAACTCACCTCCAGAAGTCAAAGGACACTGCATGGGTAGATACTTAAAGGAAAGAAGGTAGCTATAACCAACAAACAAAAGGAACGTGCCATATGGTAAACTTTACAGCTGTCTCTCAAATAACTCTATTTCTCTTCATTTCCTAGTCCCTATTCAATTAAATCAATACTAAATTTAGAGTTGGATTTGGCTTTCCTCCCCTAAAATCCAAGCTTGTTGCTTAACTAAATTTTAGAGTTTCTGTATTATATCAAGAAGCCAATTGATGTAATACAGAATAAATGAAGAATTTGAGGACTACCTTTTGTCTTTTCTTGGCTCTTTATTTCAAGGCCTACACCCTCTCATAATTGTCGTTTTTCCATGGTTGCCTTTCCCAGTATACATACATGTGCAAACAAACATTTTTCTGCTGACACTTATGTTTGAGTCCCATATAGCCAATGAAGACCCACCTGACAATCCCTGGATGCTCCGTAAAAGGAATTGGGCCATACCTCTTCGACTGCACTGGATCCAACTTGCTCCATTTCAACTGACACTCTGGCCAGAGCTTTGGGTACTGACTTCAATCAAGTTGAGGATTTCAACTTAGATCTTCAATCAAGCAAATTCCATCTAACATGGACTGGAGATAACCCATTAGAGACTTTCCCTATACTAACATTTTTTTCCACAGGACCCCACAAGGCTACCATCGTCACGTTTCAGCAGGAAGAAACTTAGAAGATGCTATGCCCCAGCTCCCCATTATTGTTTATTACGGTAGTTATAACTAATTAGGAATAACTTTCTTATTGTTTAGAGTTGGTATTGGAAGGAAGTGTTCAAGTTAGATACCCTTTCCACATGACTTTAGGGCTTAGCCGGAATAGACATAGTTAGGATGTGCAATAGCAGATTATTGTATCTTCTTGTATTTCACCTTTATCTTTGTGAATTTTGGAGGTTTTACACTATTAAGTTTTAATCCTCTTTTAGACTAAAAGGGGAATTGTAGGGAGACACTGTAGCCCCGCCTCCTAGTAGCCCCTACAGGTATGCCTGGCCACGCCCATGAGGGCATGGTCAGGGGAGGTCGAAGATGATTCGGAGAGAATTCTTAAGAGGCCATGAACATGTGGATTTCCCTTCTCTCTGGCCACCCTAGCTTGTGGCCTCTGGGCACACTCTGGCTTGCATTTAGGCTGGTGTTTATCTGAATAAAGAAATCTTAGCCTTACGGACTACGGATCATCTTTGAGCACATGCAATATTCCTTACCATCAAATCCAAATGTATACCTATCTGGTGTGAGCTTAGGTCATGGGTCCCTTTCCTGCTCTTTTTCATCCTTTTCCTCTAAGTAGTCTTGAGGCTGACACAGATCTCTCTTGCACTTAAATGGGCACCTGCCTCACACAGAAAGTAAGTTTACAGAGGTGTCAAGAACTGTCCTAGTATTAACTCAAAGACACTACTGGTGTGCTATTTCAAAGCTCCACCAATGAAATAAAAATTTCATGCTACTAGATGCATCTCTTAAAGGTCATACGGGAAGAGAAAGAAAATGTCATATTCACTTTAAACCTGAAAGCACAATACTCCCAGCAGTTACAAACTATTGAAGTTCATTACTTTCCTCATGTGCTAATAAAAAAGGTTTCGTGGCACTGTACATACCCTGAGTGGCCGTTGGAGGTAGCTTGAGCGTATTGTCTAACTTCTCCCAAAGATAAGTGGGCCGAGGGATGCCTTCCTCTGAACTACACAGAAGGATGACGTCGCTGCCGATGTCCTTGGATCCTTGGATTTGACAGTGTGGAGCAGACGGGGGGACTGTCATGGGAAGAATGGGTAACACAAGTTCACTTTTCCTGTGAGCCAATGGGACAGGAAACCACTGGGGAACCACAGACAATGACTGTGGATCACTTGGGGAGACAGCCTCATGGCAGATGCCAGAAGGACAGTCAAACATCAACTCCCAGGGCATGGAGATGGCACAAGGCTTGCAAGTGGCATGCACAGGGATCAAATCTACACAAGGAGTCATGACTTTTGGTTACATTTTAAGGTATCTGAGAGTCTTGGTTGGAATGCCCTCTTTAAAGGATTCTTAGGAGGCTTCAAGTCCACACACTGCCTTTAAAGACACTGCTGAAAAGACGCATTCAAACCCATCTCAGGAGCGGAAATTGACCCCACCAGCTGTCCTCTGACAAAGCCCACTTCAGTCAGGTCTTCTGTTATTTTACAAAGACTAGTTGGGCCAGTTTAGTAGCTAATTCGGCTTTACGGTGCTGCAAATTACAGTAAGGCTCAAGTTAACAATAAGGTAGGGGACATATCAAAATCCAACATTTTATATTCTTTAAAGACTGACAAGGACACAAGCAACAAGAATACAAAAATCACCAAAGCAACAGCAAATGGAGGAAGTGATGGCTCACATTTGCACAAAAGGAGTGAACATATAAACAAAACCCACAGCACGGAGTTCCAGATTGGTGAAGTAGACACCACTAGTTGACGGTCCTGTGATGGTGTTCTTAATCCTAACGCCTTCTCAATAAATGAGTTCACCCCTTCAGAAACACATGAAAGCAGGAGTGCAAAATGAGTTAGAGACATACAGTGCAATCAGAAAGTGAGTAAGTGGAAGAGGAGGTAATCAGAGGGGTCTGGGAAGGTGGCTCACCTGCAGAATGCTTGCCTAGCATGCATGAAGCCCAGAACTACACAAAAGCGGGGAGGGGGTGGGTATCTGAGCAATGGTCTGCTGAGCTGGGGTTAGCCAGCCTCCTGGACTCATTCCTTTCAACATTACCACTATGCTACCGTGTGTGAAGTAAAACCTAAAATAATTATTTTCAGGTGGCACTCACTATAAAATAAAGGATTCTGTTTTAAGGTAGATACTGTAGAAAGACAGTTGCTCAACTGTCAAATAAACATCAGAACAGCATCTATTTCCTTTAGTACTCCATGTTGGACTCAGAGTACTTAGAACTCTATAGAGTTTTAATATCATGAAGGTTATCTGCAAGAAAATATGTCTCCAATCCATTCCTCAGTTTTCACAATTGTTTGAAGTTTGGGAGAACAGGGCACCAAGGATTAGAGCATATTCTGCCCTATAGAGGACAAACATCAGTATCCTCAAATAGCTCAGCAGTGGGAGGAGAAAAAAGAGGGTGAGGAGGGGGCTAGACAGGACTATGGAGATGGATTCTGGCAGCTGAGCAAGAGGAGGAAGGGCCTTCTCTGAGTACTTCCTCTTCTGCCCAAATGATGGATTCAGCCCTTCTACCACAAGAATCTACTTGGCAGCCACATCTACGGGTAATCCATCAGAGACATGAGAACTGAGACATCAAACAGCTGCAGTGAATATAATTTAGTGCTCCGAGGTCTAGCCACATTATATGATATAAAGAGTGCTGGGATGAATGAGCAGGTCCAAATTTTAATATACACCTGTTTATTTGTTGTCTTAAAGGACAAGGCCCTAAATCAGTTCAATCTCATTTTTAAGGTGATAATCTGATGTTTGATAGAAGCAAGGACTCCTTTAAGAGCATAAGGAAGTAGAATTAAAATTATGCCAGGTCCACAAGTACAAGTTGAGACCCCAATTCCTGCTGAAAATGTAGTCAGTAATAACATCCTCACACATGCTGACACCTCTACTTTTTGCTATTAACAAATTATTCATGACTGAGTTTTACTACAACAGAAAGCTTCTGTCCTACAAGACCTTAAAAATGATTTTTGTGTCACCCTTCATCCAATGTCAGGAAACAGCATTAGGTAAATTTAGAGACCATCTGGAGATTTAAGAACGCAAGAATATATAAGAAGCACAGAGAAGTCCATGAGCATTGTAGGTGAGAAGGGAGGTAGGGAAGGAACTAAAACCACAGGCAGGGAGCAGAGAAGCAAACAAGAAGGACAGAAGTAAACATGATTTAGAGTAGATTTGTAAGTGAAGCCTACAGTATCGGGACTTGCCTGTCACTCACCTAACACTGTGAGGCCAGCGACCCCAATGTTCCTGCCCCCTCTGTCTGGAAGGTTGTTCACCAAGCACTGGTAGGTGCCTGTATCTGACAGCTGAGTGTTATTAATGAAGATGGAGACATTGGTAGCAGGCATGGTACCTGTAAATCCTACCCTCCCTTGGAACCTGGGGGCACCATCAAACATCTGTCCGCCCTGATAGAGAATGACCTGCAGAAGGAAGCAATATATAAGTAAACCAACCATGGTAACCCCTCCCTGGCATATAACCTAGTAGACAGAACCAAATGGACCTGCAACAAAAAGTGGAATTTTAATTTCTTAGCAATTTTTTGTGACTGTCTTATCCACGAATATCTTAGGACTCTAAATTCTCATGTACATAATTAGAGTATCTTTTTTCCTTCCTCAATTTATCAGAATTTATCAAAAATATCTTAAATGCTACCAGACTATCAGCACATAAGTATTTCCACCAGTGAAAAAAGTTAATGGTGAGATGAAATCCACAAGGTATTTGCATTGCTGTTCTCATACTAATTAGGACATAGAATGACAGATCACTCATTCACAGGCTGAATATCAACATCATAAAAGGAAGAGAACATTGCAAGTCCATGACTACTGTGCCTGCCAACTTATCAGAGCTAACATTATCAGGGCCAACTAGCCTGAAACACAGCATATAACATAACAGAAAGCTCCCCGCCCTGAAAATAAGGAAGGGCCTTTAGGGGTCTTCCTGTGCCTGTGTGGAAAACCTTAGGCAGTTCTTCTTTTTAACATTTTTAACCCCATCACTGATGCTTAAAATGGTGCAATTTGACAAAATGACCCCCAAAGCTTAGCCTACTACAAAGTTTCATGGTTTGAAGATACATTGTATCCATGTATACAATTTTCAAAGAATAAATTAAAAATTAATAAATTTTAAAGAAGTTTGTATTGAATTTTGTACTAGAAAATTTATTTCACTAAATACACTTAGTAGGATAAAATCAGAAAAGCTTTAGAAAGTGAATGACATCTTTGTAAATAAATGTGGTGATTACCACAATTGAGTAATTTTATAGTGGGTATCTAAGATTATTAAGTTATTATTATTATCATTAACTTATTTCCTAGAACTGATACCGATTTCTGGGGGGCAACTTCCATTTTCACATGTGTTCTTCTATGTGGCACACTCTCATTTGTATGACAGTCTGAGTTTGGCTGTTTTAAGATACATGTTGACTGGTAAGCTACTGTGTTAGGATGCATGTTGACTGGTAAGCCTACTATGTCTGGATGCATGTTGGCTGGTAAGCCTACTGTGATAGGAAGCATGTTGGCTGGTAAGCCTACTATGTCTGGATGCATGTTGGCTGGTAAGCCTACTATGTTAAGATGCATAAGTAACTCAGCAAAGCAAACTTCTGCCTTTAGCTTCTGACTATCATCACACTCTTTAGGGAACATTCTAGGTCACCTAAGTTAGTGCCAATCTCTCCCTGAAAGGTAGACCTTGCCTTCTTAGTATTTGTCTCTCAGCAGTGTTTTCTTTTTAAATACTCCAGTCTTGCACAAAACCCTCAAAAGAATCTCTTTAGCATTTGCTAGTGATGTCATCCTTATGAAAGGAGGACAGCCTTATCAGAATATTAGCCAATGATTCAATGGAGAGGGCACACTGACCATGTCACCTTACTCTAGAAATCAAACACATTCCCATGATGCTTCCCTGGCCATCTACTCTGCAATGATCCACAGTTTTAGAGACAGAACAGAAGTACCTACCTGTTCAGGCTGGTTTGCATTCGAAAGAGGAATAACCATCCAAATGACATTAAGGTTAATGAGAGCAGCACTGGTGGAGAAGGCGCAAGGCAGGACTGCTGTTTGGCCCCGGGCTACCTGGATACTTCCAGGGCTCTCGGACACTTCCAGGGACACTGCAACACCTGTAGAGGAAGGAACAATTTGATTCTAGGTTTGTCCTTTTCTAACAGCTCTGTGAGTATCACACAAACTCCAACCTGGACCTGTGAACACACTGACAGAATGCTCTAACCAGAGAATAACTCATCACTCACTGAGCCAAAATAAGAAAGTGGTTCGCTACTTTACATCTTGAAAGTAATTTTAAAAGACATATTCTGTCTTGTAAGGCAGTAACCCAGTATTTGGACAGAGTCAGATATACTACGGCAGAGTCTGGGCTGAAGTTGATAACTCCTGACAAAAGACATGAACTGAATTTCAAAGCCTCATCACAGCAGCACACCACAAAACATAGTGCTCATCTGTAAATCTAACAAAGTATGTGCATGCATTTATGCTCAAAACCACATATAAAACATCAATGAAAGAAGTAATCAGATCAAATAAGTGGGAAGACATTCAATGTTCATGAGATGAAAGATTCAATATTAATAAGAGGTCAATTAATCTCCCCAAACTGATGAAAATCAGAGCAAATCCACTTAAAACTCCACCAGGCATTTTAAGTACATAGCAATGAAGTAATTTTAACACACATAAAAAGGGAAGAATCACAAACAGTGTAAAGAAATAAAAGAACAAAAGAAAAAAAAAAGATGGTCAAGGACTCAATAGATGGCCCAAAAGAGCCGTGGCTACTCCTGCAGAGGACCCAAGGTTTGATTTCCTGCACCCACATGTAGCTCACAACTCCAGTTCCAAGGGGTTCAGCACCTTCTTCTGGTCTCTGCAGGCACTGCACACACATATTGAAAATACAAACATGTAGGCAATATATACACCTAAAACAAATTATTTTTAAATGATATCCATACTATCTGATTTTATAACTTTCTACAGAGCTCTAACAATCAGGTCAGTTTAGTATTAGTATGAGGAGTGAGTGGCATATAGACAAATAGTACAGGATTGAGGGCACCTAGTGTTCATGGCCAGACACTTTTCAACAAGGTGCAAACCAAAGTAGAAAACAACAGGTTTTTGTCCCATGGTGTTAGGACAACATGGCAATATTATGTGACTCAAAAGGACAGAAACAGAATCTGAACCCATACCTTACATACAATATGCAAATACTGACTCCAAGATCTTCCTAAGCTTAAATTAAAAAGCTAACCTTAAAATCCATCTACAAATAAAAGAAAATTTAAAGTTACTTTGCTATAATCAGAGAAATCTTAGAAGTATTATTAATACTGTGAATCCTAGAAGAGAACAAAATAGTAAAACAGTCATCATTGTCAAATAAAGCAGGATGCCATCATGACCTCAATGTACTCTTTATGATTTAGAAGGGCTGTTTTGAGGGTCTCTGTGACGTACATATATATATGTATACACACACACACATATACACACAGAGATTAAAGATGTGTCTTCCTGCCTCACTTCAAGATCTGGACTAAAGGCATGTTGTACTCCTGCCTCAAGACCCATATCACAGGTGTGCCCTCTATTTCTGGATTATAGTTCATTCCAGATAAAGTGACAAACAAGAATAGCCACCATACCGTCCATAAATATTGGCAGCAATATTTTTCATATTTTTCCACCAAATATAAATAAAACAACTGTCCAGCATCTGAATGCTGTTCAGAAATATAAGCATCAAATTGCCACCAGAGACTGTCAAGGTTAAGTGTTGAGGGCAGGTATAGTGGTAAGTAGTAATAGTTTCTCATCAACTGACAGCCTGCAAATAATGACACAGAAACTTTTAATTAATTATGAAAGCTTGGCCTATGGATCAGGCTTGTTCCTAACTAGTTCTTATAACTTAAATTAACCCATCTCTATTATAATCTTCGTCCTACCACGCACTGCCCATTCCTGCTTCTTCTGTGTCTCCTGGTTGTCTCTTGTATGCCTAGACTCATCTACTTCCTCTTTCTCTGCCCGAAATTTCCACCTATACCTCCTGCCTAGCTATGGGCGGTTCAGCTCTTTATTGAACCATTCACAGCAATATATCTTCATAGTGTACAAATATCCCACAAACATGGTGTACAGCTATATAGGAAGGAGGAGCTCAAGTCTGAGGTCAGCTTGAACTGCAGTGAGAGAAAGGAAGTCAGGGGGAAAGGAGAGGCAGCAAGAGGAGGAGCTAAGCATTATGACAAAGACCTGTACTCCCTGAGTGGAGAGACTAAAGTAGAAGGGCCAAAGAATCAAGACAACCTGGGCAAATCAGGACAGCCAGGACTACACAGCAAGACTATGCCTCACAGAACAACAACAAAAGTAGCCACAGAAGCTCTACCATTGCATTCTTCAGACTTCTCCAGTGCAGGAGAGAAAGCTCATATCCCTGTTAATCTATACAGGGCAATGTTTATCAACCATCCACAAATATACTAATTTCATGCTGAACTCACATAATTTTCACACATTCTCTCTCTTTCTTTCTCTCTCTCAGTAAAAACAAACTGAAAGTGAAAGCTAGAAATAGGGAAAATTGCCCAACAGGGAATGCAAAGATGGGGCAGGGATGGGACAGGGATGGGGCTGAGATGGGACAGGGATGGGGCTGGGCTGGGGTAGGGATGGGACAGGGATGGGGCTGAGATGGGGCAGGGATGGGGCAGGGATGGGGCTGAGATGGGGCAGGGATGGGACTGAGATGGGGCAGGGATGGGACAGGGATGGGGCTGAGATGGGGCAGGGATGGGGCAGGGACGGGGCAGGGAAGTGGAGCCTGCTAGCAAGAGAAAGTCTCTGTGGCACTCACTGTATACATTTTACATTCTCACAGATCTGATTCTTGAATCTCACATTTTGGCACAACAGCAGAAGAAACATTCTAGACATCTTCTAGTGCTTGCAAAGGTGTAGTGCCATCTTGTCTTGCCAGTGAACTTGTAGTAGCCACACTCTTTGGGCGTGGCTTCAGGTGTAGACTTGGGTGTACCCTTTATAAGGTAGAGGAGGGGCTGGCTGGAGCTCTCTTGGGTTGCTGAAAGCATCTAAAGGGCAGAGACTGCATCTTCTGGAGCAGGAAGACGACGGTGGTTATTTACTCTTATCTGTGTAAGCTGCTTCCCTAATATACACCTATTTATCCTGGATCTTGGTTCTGGTGAACTCACTTAAACCCTGCCTTCAGTTGGCACCCAAAGGGCAGGCAAAGCTGAATGGGTGGAAATCTGGTTCTTGTTTCTAATCAGCTATGAAACACCAAACAAGTCACTTCATCCCTGAAACTTGGTGATTCATGTCCACAAAGGGCTTGTGCTCCCAGCCTCTCACCACAGAATGAGTGTTAGGGAGATGGTGGCTACCGTCATGATTATCCTTGCTGTGTAAGCAATGGAACATATAGACCAGCCAAGCCTACAGCCAATATTATATACATACACCCATTTAATTCTATAAAGAATCAAGAATGGACTCCCACCTCTGGGGCCCTTCCAATCTACCTGTTGGGAGACATTTGTTCTACTAAAATCTGCCCCCTCCAAAAGAGAAAATAGAGAACCAGATAAAAACCAAAAACCTGTTTGAAGTCACATAACCACAAGGATAGAAAATGTATACTCCGGACTCAAACCAGGTAGTGTATCTATGGAAAACATACACTAAAACGTCTCGCGAATGTTTATTTTTACTGCATTAAGCAATCACAAAACTTAAAACTATAATGGACTTTTACACAAAACCATTCTATGAAAACCTCCTCAGTTTCCTGACTATAAACCTACAGCTGCCTCACCACACTCTCCCACCATGAGATCTTTAAATCCTTGCCCTTTGGTCCCCATAGTAACCTTGCCATAGCTGCAGCCTCTCAAGCCTTCTCTATGCACAGGAACTCCCTGGCAGCATTTAAACATTCTCCAGTTATTCAATTTCAAAGCAATCCCCAGTCCCTCCCCTCCCACCCTCCCTCTGCAAGGCAGTAGTGTCATGTTCGCCTACATCCCTGGGATCTGCTGCCTCAGTTTCTTCATGTGACTCTTTCTGGAGAGCTGTCTACACTGGCTGTCGACTGACTACTCTCCCCCTCAGTCTTTGATCCACTCCTATGTCACCACTTCTGGAAGCAGCTCCTCCAGCTTCCCAGACACCGTGTTGCTGCACAACCTTTGTAATCTCTCTTGCACCCTCAAGGGCATCCACCAGAGATGAGCAGGCTTGCTGTTGGAATCCATTTCCCCTCAGCTTTAGGGAGACCGTTTGAACACACACACACACACACACACACACACACACACCGCCCTCATGCCTTTATTGAGTATTTCTTGGTCTTGGTGCAGTTTCACTCTTTGCTTCATGTCTTCAAGTGTCTATATTCCTCAAAGGACTTCCTGATCTCCACACTTTCCCTGCAGAATCACATCTACAATCTTGAACTGGATTCTCATTTACACATCGATGGCTTCTAAAAGTCTTTCTCACATGCAAATATTACTAAGTCCATCACCTCCTAATCACATCAACTTGATATCTCTCCGGCATCTCAAGTCAGTGTCCATGACCACAGTCATCCCTCCCATGCCAGGCTCCTATCTTTTTAAAACTTTTTTATTTGTTTTTAGGTTGCTATACAAAACAATGTGTTTTATTTTGGCATTTTCATACTTGTCATTATATTTTGTTCTTATTCATTACTCTCCCTGACTTCCCTCTCCTGTGTGGTGTTTGAAAGAAAATGACTCCCAAAAGGAGTGGCAGTATTAGGATGTGTGACTTGGTTGGAATAGGCGTGGCCTTGTTGGAGGATGTCACTGTGGGGGTGGGCTTTGAAGTCTCCTTTGCTTAAGCTATGCTCAGTGTGGTAAACAGTTCACTTCCTGTTGCCTGCAGATCAACATATAGAGCTTTCAACTCCTTCTCCAGCACTATGTCTGCCTGCATGCCACCATGTCCCACCATGAGGATAATAGACTAAACCTCTGAAACTGTAAGCTACCCCCAGTTAAATGTTTTCCTTTACAGGAGTTGCTGTGCTCATGGTG